AAGACGAGAAGACTAGAGCACTAAGCCCAATACAAGACGGGATCGTATAATATATACCAATGCTTCTAACACTTATATAGCCGTCGAGGTTAAGCGCTATTTTTAAAGGGATTACGTTTAGTAACGGCGAGGAATCTAAATCTACTAGCACTACGAGAGGATACGATACTTAGCTTTATAATAAGATTGTCCTTAGCGATAAGATAAGATAGAGAGATTAGATCGATACTAACGAGAAAACGAATATTGATAATAAGATCAATACTAGGGAAGAGATGGATTATAGTAGCGAGTAGTTAATTACCGTAGATTGTAAGAATAAAGGAGATATTTTAAGTAACCTATAAATATAAATTTAAAAAGGGAATCCAAACGAAGAGATTTTACCTAAATAGTAGATAAAGAATTTAGATCCGACGAGAACTACTTTATACGTCGTAGAGAATATAGATATAGTTTGTTTAATTTATATAAGAGTTATAGCCTTATACTATTAAAACTAGCTACTCTCTTAATATACTCCTTTACTCCTAAGTCCTTAATAATATCTAAAGGACTATATATTAACGTGTCTATTGGCCTAGTATAAAAATAATTGTATTTAATCTAATAGCTAGGGCTTATTTACTTTTAGAGAGTTTACTAACCTTAAAGACTTTACTTTTAGTTCTACTACTATAGTAGTTGCTAGTTGTTTTACGTTGTTTATTAATATCGTTATTAGTATTATTGTTAGTATTATCCCTACGACGCTTACGTTCTTTAGTAGATAACTTCTTAGTGACTAGACGAGCCTACTTTATTACCGTTAGAGTTTTCTTGCTTTAGGTAACCGAGACTCTCTTCGTCTTTATAGTAACGTAAACACTATCCTCGGAGTTATCTATATCGTCGGTATTGTTTTCCTCGTTAGAGCTATTTAGTTTTATATCTTTATTCTCTTCGCTACTATTACAATCTTCCTTATTAAAGTTACTTAGTTCTATAGATTCGTTATCTTCACTAATATTGTCGTCGTTATCTTTATTTTTGTCTTAAATAATTTAGTGCCTTTATTAGCGATCTATTCTACTAAATATAAAGAGAGAGTAGTTATAGGGTACGATAGCCTCTTACGCTCTTTTCTTCGCTAGATCTTTATCTTTATCTTTAAAGTTATCGATATATCTCTACGCTAGGATATAAGCCTATTAGATCGAAATTAGTCTTCTATTACTAAGGCCTATCTATAATTAGAACTTATTGCTTCGGCGGTATACTTAATATCGTCAAGGGATACCTTAGCGATTTTAGCTATCTTAGGAACCTAAAGACGCCTTTTAGACTTTAAATAATAGGAAGCTTTAAGAATTAAAGGACTAAGAGAAGAACGATATATTTAGAAAGAGATACTATATATACAAAAGAAAAGTTTCGAGGGGTGATAGGAATAATATTAGGTAAATAAAATACAGTAGAGCCGAGCGCTAAGCCTATTAGTATACGTAAGTCCGTTAGTTACGTAAATAATTTAACGTCGAGAGACTTTAGGTAAATCTTATAGTCTTTATTACTAGAAGCGTATTATAACGATCTATCTAGGGTAGCGAGAGAAATTTATCGTTATAGAAGGAAGAGTTTAATACGTCTAGTACAATAATTACTCTTGTTTACGAGATACCTCGTAAGGAAAGATATCGTACGATATTTCCTAGCGAGGGGAAGTAATAATGCTAAAGATAATATTTAGGTTAATTTACTTATATAAGTAAAGTTCGGTAGAAAGTAGAGTAGAGAAAGAAGCGAAGGGAAAGAAGAGAACAATGATTAAGGTAGAAGACTATCGAGGAGTCCATTATATTAATATAATAAACTAGGGAGAAAGGGAAAATTATCGAATAGAAAAAGAAGAGAAGAGATATCGAGGAGTCTATTATATTAATATAATAAACTAGAGAGAAGGGGAAGATTATCGAAATATAAAAAGAAAAGAAGGGATATCGAGAGAGGAAGACTATTGAGGAGTCTCTTATATTATAATATAAGATCGATTTTCCTACTAGCCTAGTTTATTAAGGAAGTCTCTAGTATACCCGGTATATTAAGGAAGTCTCTAGTATACCCGGTATACTAAGGAAGTCTCTAGTATACCCGGTATACTAAGGAAGTCTCTGGCATACCCGGTATACTAAGGAAGTCTCTGGCATACCCGGTATACTAAGGAAGTCTCTGGCATACCCGGTATACTAAGGAACTCCCTTGTCGTCCGAAATTAATATATTGCGTCGATGTTGAATATCAATCAGACAAGGTTACAAAAGAGTTTAACGGATAGCTAAGCCTTCCTAAAGGCCATTAGAGTCGATAAAA